TTTACTGCAGGAGGAAAGGGGATTCAAGTTTTACCCATGTTTTTATGACATGCTGGATACTCCATTTATGCAACTATCTAAGGGCAAACACTTTAACCCCTTGAGACCTGCTAATCAGGAGCACCAGCTGTTAAGTGCCAGCGTGCATCCTGCATTGGTGCCTGCGGGGAGAGAAAGGGTCGCAAAGGATATGACCCTAAACTTCAGAAACCGCTTCTCTCCTTGGGGGCAAAATATAATTCAGCTTGCATCTTCTCTTGTTTTCTTTTAGTTTATCCAGTTAATGTTCCTGATGTGGGTTGTTGGGCACTCACTGCGAAGGCTTCAAGCCTTTAGGAAGATGATAGTTAATTACTGAAGTGAAAATCTGCCTTGTGCTGGTGTGGAAGTGCTTTTGGAGGTATTTACTCAGCTAGCTCACTGAGCTGCTAAGGGCAGGGGGAAGGCCAGTAGTATCTGGCTCACAGTGAATTACCGCAAATGCATGTTCCGTTTAAAAAAAAAACAACATTGCACATTGCACAGTCATTTTTCACAATACTACTGGTACAATATTAGCTCAGTCTCACACTAAGTTACACTCTTACGTTCATTTAAAACAAGCAACAAAATCCATTGTGAAAAAGGAACCTGTCACAAACACAAACCAAATTTATTCCCTGCAGAGTAAAATACAGTCAAAAGGTGAAAAGGCAGCTCGTTATTCTTTAAATGCTTCCTCTTTTATCCCCCTCTTTATTTTCTGAAACCAGTAGCACTGTTAAGCAGACAGATATGTATTGGTGGAGAGAAAAGATAGAAAATATTGCCTTTTTGACACATTTTGCGTTCTCTTTTCCATTTGTCAGTGCTCCAGCCTAGTATTTTTAACGCTTCCCCTAGATTATTTGTTGTATGACAATAAATTGACATCTCCATCTATTGCTGGACTTCATAGTTCAGTAGCCTGAGCAAAACACTTCCAATAATGGGATATCCTTGGAATCAGAGGGTCAAGTTCTTCCAGCTTGTACTCTAAACCACTGCATCAAATTTAGTTTGGGTGTGGGCTTTCCAGATGAGCAATGTTTAAAATACCTTAGCAGTGTGTGGATATTTCAGGGCCATCTTAGTAAGAGCATGATTTGACCCTAATGTCCTTAGATGCAATATCACTCTCTTCCAATGTCATGTAACATATGTTGTATTTTTTGTCACCTGAAATGGCTCAAAAGCAGAAATAAAGTGTTATTGGGTACTATAGAATGTTATGCCATGCTGTTGTACTCTCAGATTAAAGAGAAAGCCTCAGCACGGTGAAGAAGATGTTGAATTTGTGTCAGATTTCAACAAAATAATTCCAAAGAGAGTTGAAAGCTCACGCTGCAGTTAAACACTGAGCTCTTCTCACCTGTGAATGCAGGTTAGGTTCAGGCCTCCCGTCGTGCCTTGAAATTCCCTTCCTTTGTCCGTCTCTGTCACCGGAGAATTTTCTACAGACACATCAGTGGAAGTGAGGTGAATTTACATAATATAACGGCAATCTAGCCTAAGTTTGAATAGGAAAAAAGCCCTCATCACAAAATGAGATTTAATAGTGGACTAGCAATATATATTTAAACTCATTTATTTTAGGCATAATAAGGGAATAGATGCAGAACATGTAGTGGTGGATGCGGGGGAGGAAGAGAGGTTTGCTCATGTAGAGAGAAAACAAGTCATGCTGTCTTTATCTTGTGCCATTGATTTCATCATTTTTCCTGCGAATTTTCTTCTTCCAAGATATTTTTCTTCCAAAACAGCTGCCCATCTTTGCAACGCTAAGTTTTGTTGATCAGCCTCTGTAGGCACTGAGGTAGTTCCCATCACCATAGTATCAGAGGCATTCAGAAATGGAAAAAAGGAGGTAGCAAACCAATCTCTGCCTCTGCTTTGCCTTGCCTCTAACCCCCCTGGCCTCTGAACAAGACACATGTTTTGGGCAAAATCATACTTTGCTCTCCTTTTCCTTTTAATTACCTATGGCTGAGGACATCAGAAGTGGTTGGGGGTGATGTGCTGATCACAACCCGTGGGCTGGGGGACACTGATCAGTAAAAACTGATGTTTCAGGGAGTTCTGCTGACAAAACACTTCAAAACAAGCTTCCCATTAAGCACACTGGCCCACTAGGACTATTCTTATGTTCCGGTGCAAGCATATGCTTTGGTGTTTTGCTAAATCAGGATTTTGTGATCAAATGTTGTTCATACTATTAGGCATGTCATTCTGTTAATGATGATAAAAAAGCAAGCATCAGTTCACTAGTAAATGCCTGCAATCTGCATCACAGAAATGGAGGAATTAACTCTTTCAAAGGCAGGCTCAGAAGCCCGTCTGGCCGTTAAAAATTGTTATTAGGTCTTGCCATGAACCTTTTCCCTGCACCTAATATGTTGCTGTGTTGGCCTGGGGCCAGAGTATTTTCAAATAAAGAGCATCCCTTGCTGGAGGGAGGACATACATGTTTGCAGCCATGGGGAAGCCCATGTGGCGCTCAGGCCTGCCAGCTCCACTGGGAGGATCTCCGGGTTCATCCTTGCAGCACACCTCAGAGCCTGGTTCAGGACTGTGGTTAACCTCATCCATGGATGTCAGCGTCTTAAATTTTTCTGATATCTTAATTTCTGAAAGAGAGAATTCCTCTTATGTTGAGCCAAGATGCTGCTGGGACATTTTAATTCCTGGTAATCTAATGAGGCCATAAGTAAGGCTGTAAAGCATGTGCGGTACTCACACAACTCTGCTCCCATGGACACCTGTGGTGGCACAGGCAAATCCCGCCTAATTGCACGTACATGTGTGAGACTAAGCACTGAATGAGCTACCGTGTTACACCAGTGCTAGGGTTTACAAAGAGTGTACCTTTACTGATGCTTTCCAGATGAACTGCCACTGCAAAACCTGCAACAGACATAAGGTATAATTACTGTCACTGTTATCAGACTTTACAGCGTATGTGAATATGTATTGATTTGTTTTGTTGCAAGGAGGTTTGGGTTTTTTTTTTATTTTAAAATAAAGCTTTTTATTTTTTCCAAAGCTCATCCCTGTAAATTCCTGTACAATGCGGGGGGGGAGGAAGCAAAAGCCATACAATGCCCCAACCCATGGTAATCAGCAAAAATATCTGTCAGATATCTTTTCTAAGTTATCACTGTTATATTTACTGAATGAATTCATTCCATTTCTGATACAGCTGAAGAACATATTTTCATCGATATGAAGAACATATTGCAAATCAATTATTCTTGTAGAGCTGATGTTAGTTTTAAATATCTTCTCATATCTTTTATCAAAGGAAACCAAATTAAATCATCCACTATTATTTGCTTTTCTGAATTTTTAGAAGATGGTGCTGAATTATAAAGTTGAGTTGGGGAAATGAGGAGGTGCATGATGTTTACATTGACATGAACCTAATTACAGTTAGACTTAATCCCTTTAATTACAAGAGTTGTAGGAAGAGTGGTAAGCATTGGGCCCAATCCTCCAAATCCAGTCCTGGGAACTAAACAAGTATGTGTTCTTGATGTGTACAAGTTACCTATTGCAGCAGCAATGCTTTAGGTGCGTGGCCCACAAGTTAGGCACCGAGACCCCTGTGAATAGTTGGGGAGATTTAAATGCCTCCAGAAGGGAGTCCCAAATTGGCACAGGCTGGGCCAGGAGATTCCTAGGGCCAGGCAATAGGAAATGGTTGTCAAATTGCACATCGAAGGGCCATGGTCTTCTTCAGACCACACCACTGAGTGTCCTTTACAATAGAGCAGATTTCAGAATTGTAGCCAATCCCTGTCCTTGATAAACCATCTAATGATGAAAGTGTATGTACAAAAGAAGAGAGACCTGAGGTCAGCATCTTTCTAAGCTTCAGAAGCTATGGACCCACATCTGCCCTAGGAGAATGCAGGGACAACCAGGGCAGTAGGGGATAGGGAAGCGGAGATGGGGCAGTTACACTCAGGCTAGGATGACCCTCTGCCCATCTGCCTGATGCTTTGGCACTGTGTGATGTTCTTGCAAGATGCAGAAGGGGACGGATGCAAGAGACCCAAACTCTGTAGCTGAACTTCTCAGCTTGAAGGATTCCCAGCCAGGCTTGTACTCTTGGAGTTCATGCAGGAGGGACCAAAATCCTGATTTCCTCTCAATCCCTTCAAAAAACATGTATCAGGTTAAGGAAAATGAGGAGGGTGGTCTTGAAACATCTTAAACTGGAGGAAATTGAGGAGGAAATCAGCATCTCCCTGTCCTCTTTGGTTCTCCAGGCTCTGGGTTATTGTAAGAGAGGTGAGAGGCACAAGGACTTGCTTTGCTCTCCACAGGTCATGTCTTAAAAGAAAGCACCTCCATTTGCACCAAGGAAGGGAGCTGGTCCCCACAGCAGTGAGGATGCCTATTCTCTGCATCCTGGTGCGTCCGATCACTACACAGCAGCGGTGTCCAGACACCCAAAGTATAACCTAAAGAAAATGCCATAGATTTGCCAGCTGAAACAGCGATCACACAGCAAGATGGTCTGGCAGGTCCTGAACTAGGAAGCCACAGGCAGATTTTCTGGATCTCAGCTGCAGGTGACAAAAGTTCACCTAAATCTTGTTTTAACAGCATAAATCTCTGTGTGGTTCAGGCCCTTAATTCAGTGAATACTCTTAGAAGTGACAAAGGGGCACTTGGTGGCATTGCCATGACAGACCCTTAGGTTCTGCAAAATATATTCTGCTCTAGGTGCAGAGGCATTTTTAAGAATTTGTTTTTCTCTGGCATTTCTTGAATTAATGTTAATAAAAGCTGCCCCAACCTTTTATTTTTCTATATGAACACAAAAATTGCAGCTGCCTGCCAAGTCTGCTGAGAGATGGATGTAATAATTTTCAATTGGACTGTTAGCCCAAAGGGAACCCGATAGCAAGAGATTGACAGATGCAGCATGGATTATCTTGTGCTCTGAACTCAGCCCAATTTGTGGTTTGTTGCAGGTGCTAAAGAGATTGATATTGCTGCTACCCTGGAGCACTTGAGGGACCAGAGACCAGGCATGGTCCAGACAAAGGTACTGTCAATAAATCCACTGGGATTTTAAATACATTAAAGGTCTTTCACAGTAGTTGTTTTCATGACAGAAGAGAGAGGGTATGACCTAATTTAACGCAGGTCGCTTGCTGATTACTCTGTTTGGCTCCCTACCAACTGAGGTTTATTTATGCTGAAGATTTATCTAGGCTACTTTCTTTGGTGTTTACTGCTCTTTCTTGTAACATCTCCAACATCTATCTTGATTACCATATATGAAGGGCAGTCAAGACAACAATCTATAGCCTACTAAAGAAAATGTGCATTTGAAAGAATGTTCTTGCTTTCATCCTGAAATATGGATTATTTTCTTAGAGTATCTGTGCTTAACTGTGCATGTAATATTTTTTAAAAGCTTCAACTCATTAAAGAAGATGTAAGTACTGCATTTGATTTTTTTTCTGGAAAAAATGTTTTGAATTAAAGGAAATATAGTTTTGTAGGAAATCGAGTCATTTTTAGTATCTTTGAACAGAAGAGCTTACATCGTGCCTAAAGCCATGTCTTTTATGGATGTAGCATGGTAACTATATTTGTACCCTTTGGTGAGGTCAACACCTTACTCTATAATTCCTGTCAGTTGTAATAGTTTTGACATTTTTCCACGATGTAAAACTTTTAAAGATAGCTGATGGTGTGACTGTAGTCCCTTAAATTAGAAATGAAACTTTCTATTATTAACAATTTCAGTGATGTATGGAATGATATTTTGGGGTATTTGCTGCAAGTTAAGAGCTGCAAATATAACAATAAAGAAACTCGTTCATGGCATGGAGACCAAATAAATGTGTGTATGACATATTGTGAAATATTGAATGAGAGTTATAGCCCCAAACTGAGTAACCAGAGCAATGTGACAGCACTCTGTCTTGGCCAGGCTGGAACTGATAGGAAAGTCTGCAGCATTTAGGGAGTTGAAATTGCTGAGGGACAAAGGTGAAATAAATGTGTGTCGCAGGAATCATTGGTTCATAACTTTTCTTGAATCTCTTCCTAATCATTTTATCTTCCCACTAAGAGTAGAAGTGGTGCTGGAGAACAGTTGGGGGGATGTTAATTATTATTTACCAATTAAGTAAGTGCATGAAAAATAAAGATCAGCCAGTCAAAGCTAACTAATCTCTATCTGCAAGTAAGACATAAAATTGCACAAATCTTTCTTCTGCTTTGATTATTCAGACTGGAAAAAGAATGCATATAGCACACAGCATCCAATGTCACATATATTTACCCTGAGGGAAGATGCAAGTCCTGAACTTCTCTGTAAATGCATCCAAAATATATGGCAACTCTGTAGAAATATAGAGCTCAGATTCCAGCTTCCCTCTCAGGGCAGAGAAATTACAGCTTGTTGCCTTCAACAAAAGAAAAAACACAGCTCCAGAACCAAAGAATAAGGTTATACGAACAACTTCTCTTACTTGGCTTAGAAATAGTTACCCGAGTCCCATGAAAATCTCACTCAAGACGTGTTTTTCCCCTCCAAACATTTATCTGGAAGAGCTCCAGAAAAGAAATGTATCCTGTGTTTTCATCCAGGATGAAAAATTTTCTCAGGATATTGCTTATCTCTCCTCTTGCTCCTTCTTCCATCATTGTCATTTTCTCAAAACCACCCAAATCACTTATTCAAGCTAATGTCTTGCAAATTATAAATATCTGGTTACATGCTAGCAATGCACGATCCCCAGAGAATTTTTCTGATGGATTTAAACAAACCCCTGTGCTTTCCCAACTGAATACAAATGAGGAATATTAGACTCTTGGAGTAATTTAAAACAATGGATTAAAAGTCAGGTTAGAAATGCCAATTACAGAATATCCCCAGGCAAAATAAACACCAACTTACTTCAGCAATGTTATTGTGTTTCCAGCAGGCAGCGCTCCACATTTTCAATAAGCATGTGAAAGATTTGTTTGCAACATTTTGTCTTCTGGAAGGGATCTTTAATTCAAAAGCATGGTACATAATAAATGGTAATGAAATTATCATAACGACATTCTGCATTTCTGAGAAGCATAATAGAGGGTTTGTGGGTTTGTTATTTTTTTGCAGGGGAATCATAAAATAGAATTGATATGCCACATATGAGAGGAAAAAGTAATAAAGGAGGAAGTGTATTCTCTGTGATGGGAAAAATATATATTTCCTTTTTTTCTCTGTCCTATATCTTTCCTCTTGCAATCTGTAATATTTAGCTAAGGTTCTTTATCATGTCATATATGCTACATGTACTCAGTTTGTTTTCCTGGGAATTTTTATTTGTAGACTTAATGAAACATAGCTTTTTTTTTTTACTAAATATATTCTTGTCACCTCTGGATTATAGGTGATGCCGTGAAATGCCTGTCCAGCTCTGTTTTCTAGGCAAAGCTAGGTGTTAAAATTCATCTCCAGTCAATCTTGTATATGCAAATAACATATGTGAATGACAGTGTAGCTGTACAAAACAACAAACTGAGCTCCTTTAAAAATTACTGAAATTAATTTGCTCGAACTGCGGTAGTTCTCATGGAAAGGTGCAGAAGGTGCATAAAGGCTTTTCTTTGGAGGGTGGTGATACACATCAATGGCAGCTGCACTGTCTGCCTTTCGCCTGTGCGTATTATGCAAAAGGAAGGAGGGGGAAGAGCTCAGCTGTGCCATCCCAGAAAGACCATGTCCTCACACATCTCATGCGTCTGCTCTGCTGTCCCCTTTACTGCAGTGTTTCACAGTCAGTTTGGAGCTCTGTCTGTAAAGATTATGCTTTGTAAGTTGTTGTGCCTCAGTAATTTAGGGTCACACATAATGTTAGCTGTTGGTCTCCACTGAACTTGTCTCCAAAATCCATATCTGAACTTTGGAGTTCATGTTGATCAGTCCACGGTCCTTGGGTGAGACAGACACTTCTCCTCAGGTGGCGCAACGATGCTCTGTGCTCCCATGAGGGGTAAAGGCACTCGCAGGTCAGATAGTCTCCAGCCTGACAGGTCTTCACAGTAAGGTGAACACATCTTGGACCAATGAATTTAAAGGGCAGATTTGCTCAGTGAATAACTTCAGAGTAATATAAGTTATTTTCAGCAATGGGACTAATATTAAAGTATTGTAGTCCCTGATCTTACAAGCTTTTCCTGACTGTAAAATACTCAGATGAAGAGCACATTAGGTAGCTTCATTACCATGGGCAGCTTCCCTTCTTCCAAACTGACGCCCACATCTTGGAAGAGTCATCTGCACATCTCTGAAACTTGGCTGCATCACTGTGTCAACCCCATCGTGCTCAGATCAGCCTCTTCCGTTGCTGTGCTCCCCGTGCTCCAAGGACTGGCAGCAACGGGGACCAGCTGTCCCGCTCACAACTGAGCGTCGGCATCCTGGGAGCACCCGCTTTGCCCCTCTCCTGCAGCCCCAGCGCGAGGGTCTCCCACCCTGCCCAGGATGCTCTGCAGGTCTCTCACCTTGCAGAGCTACATCAATGGGGTCCAGCAGCTGCCACCTCTTCCTACCAAGGCTTTTTTGCCCAGAGATGAGCCCTTCTCATGCATCAGCCCAAATTTCCTGAAGCTTTTTGAGCCAGTACAAGCATCCAGTTTGGTTCTGGCACAGCGTGTCCAGATGAATGCCCTCTACTTCTGCTGCCCTCCAGCTCCTCTCACACATTCAGTGTGCTCCTGTTAAAATATAACTGCTGCTCCTGGGTGAGCATTTCCAGTCTTTTCTTTAATTGCAGAGACCTTGGGGAGTGCGGGGAGGCATAGGCAGTCATATACGCCATTTTCTGTGCCTAATGAGGATGAGTCCTACTCTTTAGGGTGAATTGATGTCTGATTAAAAACTATTGGCTGCAGTCCAGCAGCTGTACAAGGATGCCACTTTGACAGCACCAAGCAGACAGCAAAATTCTTGAATGTCAGCATCTCTGAGAAATTATTCCGAGTTTTGTTCTTCTTTTTCTGCTCAGGAACTGTGCCCATCGTTGCTTCTTTCTGAGGCATCTCCACATGGGAGATGACGCCAGTGGGGTAAGACAAGGCAGAGCAAACTGGCACTGAACTGCAGGAATTAGAAGTCAGCTGTCTTTCTGAACTATGAGTTGCACATCTGTAGTTTGTTCTTTCATCCTTCCTGCAGATTTTCACAGTAAAGTGAAGCACTGTGGGAAATGAATGCTACTAGTCCAGTAATCACCTTTGGGGCTGGCTGTGTTCTGCAGCCATCCGCCACTGCTGCGTGCATACCTGCAGCCATCCTGCGCAGCCGCTGGCAGTGCAGGCTGAGGGGCTGCAGGTACCTACCAGACCACCAGCTTTCTGATTGGAAACAGACAGGATCCTGGCAGTGATCTCAGGATGCTTTGCAGGGTGCATCTCAGACCTCCATTCTCAAAGTTAGTTCTTCAGCAGCTCTTGACCCTGGCTGACTTAAACCACTGGAGTACTTCTATAAAATCCAGAACTTCTCCACAGTCTTTATCTGGTGTGCTTGATTTGCCTATATTCTGAGTAAACTGCCCACATTTCTTTTTTCATCTGAAAAGTTGCAAAGACCAAATCATCCTGTCAGATATTTCAGTAAGGTAAATTTCTGAGAAAAAAATTACTTGCTTAGAAAATACAATACCTGTTAACCTTGAGGAAGTAAAAATCCTTTGTCCTTCTACAGGACTACACAGTCCAGGAGTGTGTTAGGTTTGCACTTAGAAGAGGTGGCCATTCATGGCTGTGTCCTTCACTCCTCTGCCAACGCAGTGCAAGAAGCCTATTAGTAATTTTGGTTTTATGCTTGCCGTAAATTAATAGCAGAGAAAAGCCTTCCCAAGTATTTCTTAAATAGGAGTGGTCTAAACATTGTTGGGGAATTTGTGGGTGCAGAAAGGCCCTTAAAAAGGGAAGCTGAAAGAGAACAGTAACACGTAAACCAAAAAGCAGATGTTGTTCTATATAATAGAAGGTGAGGAGATATTTATTCTAGCTGATTTCAACTAGAAACAGTCATGAGAAAAGCCAAAGGCTCTGCTTTGCAGCATCTCACCTATTTCATATCTCAATTATGTTAACGAGTTTCCATCTCTGTGTCAGAAGGAAATGGCTGGTGATCAACTACTCCCAAACCCTTCTGACCACACGATTGCAATACATCATAGTGTCCCAGTAGCTCAGTTTCCGCTACCAACATTTTTCTCCATTAAAATGACTCAGGCTTCAAGATGCTGTCAAACATGTTATATGGCATCAATAATCCCAGAACATTTTGTTCCTTTCTGTTGCAGTGTACAGTTCATCCTGCATATTCGTATTCTTAACAGTGTCTTGAGGATGCTCAGCTGCAGAATAGTGCACCAGGCTTTTGGAAAGTGTTTTGTTTTATTATTCAGAGTATGCGTTTCTTCTCTCCGCAGGAGCAGTTTGAGTTTGCTTTGACAGCGGTTGCAGAGGAAGTGAATGCAATACTCAAGGCACTTCCCCAGTGAGCGGCTCAGTCTCCCGAAGGTTCCCGCAGGATCCGTCCCTCATTTTCCTCGTCCTCAGTCCCTGTGAATGTTCTTGGAAACCGTGACCTGACCTTAACTGTGCATCTTCTGTTGTAACCACATAGTGATAGGGTCCTTACAAACTCCGTTAGCTGGTAAAAGTTCAACAGTTTAAATGTGTATTCTGTTTTTTGGGGTTTTAAACAAATTTTTAAAAGTACGTTGAAGCCTCGGATTAAGTGACAGAACAATCCATCTAATTCCTTTCACATCCTCGAAGCCCTGAATGTCACACTTTGAAAGCACACATTCATGTTCTTAATAGCAAATATACAGTATTGTGGGTAATTAGTGCAGTCAATATAGTCTCAGAAAACAGTGTTCCGCTATATTTTTGTAACTTCCACAAGGCTGAAGAAGGGGTGGGGGGTGCTGAAGAGGATGGTGATCCTTCCTATGCATTGCCAAGCAAGAGCATGAAACAGTGCTGAGGGTGTGAGTAAATGCAGGTCCAGGCTCTGGCAAAGAGAGCTTGCACCTTCTCGTGCTGGGCTTTGGCAAGCAAATGCTTTCTTAACTGTTGTTTACTTTTCAGCTTTGTGCCATGAATGGATGAAAATCTGAACTATAAGTAAATAGGCCTGCACAGTTGTTGCAACTGGGGAGAACAAATTGGTCACATTAATGGGAACCCGGGGGATAACGAGCATAACAACTCTGACCATGTACCTACCGCTGACAGCACGGAAAAGGAGAGCGTAGACTCACCTCAGGTGATGCGGAAAGGCCCTGTCAGCAGGCAGGTAAATGTCCGGAGCTGTTATGGAAACAGATTGTTGATTTTATGGGATTACTGAGGAAGAAAATGGGACTCTCCTCTTTATATTTTTGCATTTCCCTCTGTAAAACTGCGCTGTGCCATCCTTTTTAGGCGGGAAAATATATTTCTGTTAAAGCCTGGCTGAAGAAGAAATATCCAGTCTGCATTTTATGATTCTCATCGAGATTGTCTGATCCAGACGTTCATTGCACCTTTCTGCAGAGGCTCTGCTCGCTTCTTGTTCTGAATGATACCTATTTTAACTAACCATTAAGGGATAAAGAAGCACATGGGTTGAATTTCAGAGATTCTTGTGTTCTCAAAATCCTAATGCCTGCTGTTGCAAAGTTATGCTAAAATATGGCTGTAAATGATTTGGTTATGCAATCTTGCTTATGTGAATTCACAAGTTTAGTTGTGGTACTCTTTCAAAGGAATTTAACTTATTGATAGAAAGTACTCTGATATGTTTGAGTGAAGGGCCTGCGAGTAAAATTATCAGAGGTATTTAAGTGATCTAGGCTCTTACTTTCATTTTCAAAAGTGAATACTTGGATGCTTTTTCATACGTTATCCTACATCTCCATGATTTAAGAAATTTGGGGTGCTTTTTTCCAAAATCTTAGCAGTGTTGTATGCTTGAAACCATATTAGGCTAATCGTATGACTTCAGCACTGGAAAATATATCATTGAATTTAATTTGGGAAGGGGAAGCTTTTATAAACTTCTAATCAGTGAAATGTTAAAGAGAACAATATCACAGAGTTTTGCTGGCACAAAGGTAACAGGCACCTATCGAAATCAACCATGTTGCAATTTTGTGTTGTAGGTGTGGATATTGGTGATTTCTTCTTTTTAGCAATTAAAGACTTATTAAAAAGAAAAAAAAAAAAAGCAGAAGGCTTGTTACTTCTCGCCATACATTTTTGTATGCTTTACGTGGTATGTGCTGTTGCTTAATTTGTGCATCCCATTACTATGGCAGTACAGAGCAGTTACTGCAGATGCCATCATCCTCTTAAGTACACATACTGTACATTAAGCCACATGTTTATTTTATGGCCTAAGCATTTTAGAGCTTTCCTAGCAATAACTAAAAAAACTAATGGAGTATGAATGAGAAAATTGCCTTTTTCATTTGATAATTTAGGTTTAACAGGATTCTTTTATTACTTTAGCTAACACAAAATTGCAGATCAGGGCAGATGAGATCAGTTTGAGCAGTATCAGCAAGTGTTTGAAGTAGATTTACTGTGAGCCATGTACTGCAGCTTTCTGAAAATACAGGTAGTTATATCCAAGCAAACTGTCCAAAGAATTAAAATTAGGGCATCCAAAGCCAAGCCCTCCGATTATCGGGTAGAATTATTTCCCAGTGCAAGATGCTGTGCCATTACCTACTGCCAATGGGATAATGGGTTTTTAGCACAGATTTCTGCCCTGGGATTCATTAGCCTTCGCCTTCTGACTGTCCCTGTGCATACCACAAACATGGCTGACGAGTCTTTCATTTACACTTCAGGAATATTTTTTAATTGTTCTTTTGCAAATGTTTGCATTTCATAATATCAGTTTCAGGGTGATCCCTATTAATTCACAAGCAGCTGAGTGTAGGACTTAAATATTGGTCTTCATGCTTCGGAGTTTATTTAGCGTAGAGTAGAGGGCATTAATCTTCCCCAAGGCTAATGGGGCAGGGATGTACTGTTTTATTCATACTTGTAGACCAGTTTACACAACAGAAAGATGCAGTCTTACTCAGATGGTTAGAGTATCTCCCACTGAATGTCATTGACAATCCTGTTATTTCAGCCGTGTTTTGTACAGTTCTTCCACAAAGAGGTGCCAGGTTTATTCTGTTGACTGTAAACTATCATGCAGAGTATTTCGTCTGTGCAGGTAGCATACTGTTCACACGTCTCAATACATGCCCTTCTTCTGGGGGTGATAACAGGGTCTACTAGTGAAGTGCAGGTTTCAGTTGCACCAGGGCGATCCGAAGGGTTTTGACAATCCATTTCCCGGAAAGATGCCAAAGCCATGGATGAAGCCACAGAGATGCATTTCTCATGCAGGGCAGGTATTTCTTTACCCTTTTCACTGCAGTTAGCTGAATCCTTGTGATTTGGTGAAGAATGTTGTTCAGGCCACCCCCGGCCACTTGTCCTGGATGTGGGACCTGCCCCGTGTTCACTGGCAGGTCAACTCACCTAGCAGGTTGAGTTGAGCTTCTTCCTGGAAGCCAGGATCACCTGAGAGCCCAGAGTCAAATGAGACCCATAGTCCTTCCCTGTTCAGTATTCTGCTTGATCTTTAGTAAACTGATTGCAATTGAAGCTTGGGCTGGCACCTGATGTGCAGCCATAAACAGCATGTGTTTGGTATTGACCATCCTCATGTTCTTGATAAAGACAAATTGAATCTACAGGTGCTGTTTGTGTGGTTGAATCTTTAAATGGCATTTAAGGGGGGGAGCTGCAGGAGGGCGATTTAGCCCCAGTACTCGCAGTTTCCTTCCTCACTGGTCAAAGGGTGGCAGAGGGAGAAAACCCTGTTTCCCACAGGCATGGCAGCGAGCACGGGTGCTGGCCCCGAGCAGGGCAGTGACCTGACCAGACCCCACGCTTATGTAGTCACAATGTGTGCAGATATGAGGGATGGAGAGGTGGTCGTCACCAGCATTGATAGTTCATAGGAGTAACTGCACAGTTGCTCTCTCCAGCCTTCGCCCTTCCCATGACATGGGCTGGGATTGATAGGAGTAACTGCACAGTTGCTCTCTCCAGCCTTCGCCCTTCCCATGACATGGGCTGGGATTGAGAAGGATAGAGGGGCAGCACCGTTCCCCAAAGCCCAGATCCGTGAGGTTCAGCCATAGCCACAGGGAAAACAATGTGGGGTTTGCTGGTGGCTTCACATGTTTCAGGTGTGAGCTCTAGCCATCGCCCTTGACCACTGTCTGTGGGATCTGGTGCGGCCCAGGTAACATCCAGTGGATGTCCTTGGTGATTGTGAGGGCCAAGAATTAATTTCAGCAGAAAATCCTGTATCCAAATCTCAATCCAGTAAGAAAACAAGCAAGATTATTTTTATAGATGCTACTAAACATTTAAAATATTTAAAAATATTTTTAAAATCTACACCAATGACTAAACTTTGTTCCTGTCTCTGGCATGCATGCAGAACCAATCTCCATCCATCCCTAGGGGAATGACAGCTATAGTACCTGTAAGGAGTTCATGCTTTATTAGTCAAGTGAAACATTAATAAAACCCAGCCCACTTCATAATTTCCAGAATAGTCATTAATTAAAAAAACTGTTTATTGGAATAGAAAACAAGTATTGGATTAGCTTTGTTACAGAACAATAGCTCTCCTAATTTTTATTCTGCATATTTTATTCTTTGTTTAGAAAATTCTCTTAAGAAGCAGTTGAGATAATTAGCTTTTTAAAACTGTACAGTTTCTATGGTTTTGCTTTTTAAATGAGAGTACACTTTGTAGATTTGATTATTATATTTTTCTGTTAAGATTACATTGGGCATTACAAAAGCATTCCCCACCACAGTGAAAAGAAAGCTATCCTGTTGGTTTATTGTAAAAGAAAAAAAAATAATTAAAACAAAATTGCAGAGCTGTGGCATACTCAATCCAATTAGAGCATGACTCTTTACTACTCTTCATTTACCACATTAGAAATAAAATAAAGTTACACCAGCAAGATTTCTTTTGAAGCTGTTCTTGCATGCTGTTTGTACTGTATTTGATGGCATAATATTGTTTTGTTTACAACCTTTTCTTTCTTGTCATTCTATTATATTCTTTATATGTATATAGTTTAAAAAAAAAAAAGATTATACAAAGTATTTTGTTCTACCTCTGTAAAAATCATATTTGTGAATAAAGTCACACTGTCTGTGGAGTATGGTATTGTGAATACCGCATTAACAGCTGGTGCTTTGCTTTTATTTGGGGGGTGGGAGCAGTACCTCCGTCCGTTGCTGGAGAGCTGGAATACGCAAGGTGGGCACGCGGGGCTGGCAGAGAGGGGCACAAACGTCCTGCTGGCGGCGTAGGGGTACACGTTTAATCTGCTCTGAGCAGAAAAGATTGCAGCCATCTCTGGCCTGGGTGTGTGGCCTGTAATACTGCAGCTTCCAACGTTTTGATCAAGGCAGACTCCAGTGTTCAGAAAGTAGAGCAGGCAAAAAAATGACTAAATTACAGCAACCCTCCTTGTGCAACCAGGAAGTGAAAAAATTTGGCCTATAGTGTGTGTCACAGAGTGTACAAGTTAACAAATGGAATTAACGATACCCTTTTTTCAGGAAAATTAAAAGCAGGAAAATGTTTTTGGGGAGGGAAGGCTGGTGGATCAGAGCATCACATAATGGGTGGTACGGGCTGCCCAAGGATTTATAGTTTTAAAATAGTAGCAGGATTCACAGAAGGATTTGAGCAGGTAATGGAAAATACTCACTGTTATATTAAATAAGGTTAAGAGGAATAAAGTCTAAGGTTCCTACATAAGCACAGCATAAAATAACCATTTTTTTCCCCAGGGGATAGGAAGTAATTTTCCCATAAGCACTGTCCGTTATATGAAGGTTTGTATCTTTCCATGAAATATCTATTGTTAGCTGTTATCAGAGGCAGTCTTTAGGGTTAGACAGCCCTGGTATGGCAATTTTCATGGTCCTGTATTGTGTGTTAAAATTTCACTTGTGTTTTGAAGAAGACTTAAAATAGTTTGCCGCTTACTTGGAAATAACTAGAAAAATGTAAATAGAAAGGTAGAAACCATCCTGGTCCAGCTCACTCCCTTCCCATCAAAGAATCACATTTTACATTCTTTAACCTTGTTTGTGTAGTTGCGTGTTTTAATATCTATGCCTTTCTCAGTGT